CGCATTCGCCGCGGCCAGTTGCTGTTGCTGTTGCTGCGTGTTGCCAACGAGTCCACCGGCGCCTGGAGGCGCACCATCGCCGCCAAGATTGGACATGGGCACGACGGTGCCAATAGGTCGATTTGCCTGGGCCATACCGGCGCTCATGTTGGGCGCGACAACGCCACCGACGCCACCAGCGCCCCGCTGCGCCATCTGCTGCGCGAGTAGCTGCGTGTTGTTGCTGCCGGGTGCACCATAGTTGCCGACTCCATAAGGCATATTGTTGATTTGGCCTGCACGAAAGAACAATGATGAAGCTGCCCATTTGGCTAATCTATGTGGTTGGGTGAGGATTGTTGCTTGTTTGTTCACTTACCCAGCTGCATGTTCGGGTTTTGCATGCGGGGGCCGCCGCCGGCTCCGACTACGCCGCCCGGTCCATTGCCACCGCCAGCTCCGCCGCCCATCAAGTGCGGGCCTCGCAGCAGATGCTGCTGTCCCCCAACCATGCGCCCCATCATCGGTCCATTCTGCATATGCATACCCTGGCTGGGCGCTGCGCCGGTCACCGAGCTCACGCCCACCGAGCCGGGCACAGTGCTCATCATGGATGCCCCGCCTGGCTGCTTCAGTGTGTTGACTAGGCCGGCGCCTCCAATGGTGCCCATGCCGCCGCTATTCGTCAGCACCATGTTGCCTAGATTGCCCTGAGCAATGCTGTTCATGCCTACCGAGCAGAAGTATTGAATCGCATGTTAATTACGGCCTGATTTCGATGTGTTCATCTCATCCATATATCTAGCTTACCTGGTATGGAATTCATGCCGTTGTTGCCATTATTCGATATGGACATGGGCATTGAGTTGACCATGCCCATCTGTGTGGCCACCTGCATGCCAGCCGTGTTGGGCGATTGCAGGTTAGGCGACTTGCTGCCCAGTTGATTCATGCCCGGCACCACCATGCCGCCGCCAGCGCCTTTGTTGCCCTGTTGCTGGTGCTGCAGCAACTGTTGCAGATGCTGATGGTGCTGTAGCTGACGTAGTTGACTGCCGGCAGCGCCACTGCCGCCATTACCACTGCCATCGTCACCGCCGCCACCGGCTCCGTTCATCTGTGGTGGCACGACGCCTGGACCAGGTCCCTGAGTAGGTGGTTTGTTTGGTCCACCAGCGCCAACGACGCCGCTGGCTGTGGATACAACGCCGCCAACACCGCCACCGCCGCCGCCACCAGTGTTCAGCTGATCCGACCAGCCACTGCTGGAGGACACCAGCTCATCGGGCAGATTGTCCTCCAGAAAGTACAGATCCGCTACGAAAAACAGGATTTGATTAATACTTATATCATGATATAATATGGTTAGGGATGCCTAACGGATATCAAATCTAGTTTATCAAAATATTCTGAATCAATATGGAACTGATCTGGAACTGATCAATATGGATCTATCGATCCGAAAGCAATGTTAAGCAATAGATCCAAATAATACATGATATGTGAAATGCAGCTTGTGGGAATGTGCTGACTGTTTTTTATTACTACTCCCGCCCGTCCTCACAATACTCACTTTGATCCATTTTGACCCGCTTCTGTGGCGGTTCGTCCAAATGATCGGCCATCATATATATAATTATTTGCTAGCCTTTCAGAGGCAGCAGTACGCGTCCTTGTGAGAATAAATATATGTACGTGTTTGTTTGTTGTGTGGTGTTGGTTGTGTTATCTTGTCTGCAACGGTTGCAAGACTAGCAGTACAAGATGGTCCATTAAAAAAAAAAAAAAAAAAAAAAAGAGTTGACAGTATTGGGCTATGGACAACAATTTTTGATTGCTTGCGTTTCTTGTGTTTCAACAGTTTTCGCACGGATGTTTGATTTTGTTTCTTAAGCTGTTCGCTTTGCTTTGCTTTGCTTGGTATTTTCTTTCTTGCTTATCTTCTCTCTTTCGGCTTCTTTTATAAACTTGCAATCTTGGTGGCAGTCAACAACGACGACACTTGCTCAGTAAATTGTTTTAATAAAATTTTGCATAAACTAGCGGGAGATGTAAATAAATGTTGCAACTCCTTTGTTATTATATGCGATGTTGGGGCTGTTGCTGCTGCTGCTGCTTCTTCTTCTTTGTCGTCGTCTTGTTCTTCCTCTTCTCCTGGCCTTGCTATCGTCTGCCGCTGCGACGAAGACGTCGACGACGTCGTCCGCGCTATCGTCACCGCGACCGTGCCAGCTGAGCACGTCGCTGACTCCGTTGGCTCGCCGTTGAGATCGTTGTTGTAGCTGCTCCTGCTACTACTGGCGTACCATGCGCCGCCAGTAGACGTCGTTACTAGTGTGCGCCTTTGCTCCAGACGCAACGCTTCCGCTACTGCTTCTGCTACAGCTGACTGCCAAAGCCTCAGATACTTCTGTTGCTCCTCCTGCTGCTGCTGCTGCTGCTGATGCTGCTGTTGCTGCCGTTGTTTTTGCTTTTGATGCTGTTCCTCTTCCTGCTTGTTCTCCTGCTGTTGCTGCTGCTGCTGCTGGTTGATGTTGATTCTGGTTATGTTGTTTGTCATACAGCAGCATGCGCACGAGTGCATTTTGTGGGTAGGCGCCAAATCCACCAAATTGGCCTAATTCGAACTCGAATAAGTCGGCCTTGGCTAGGATTCGAAGTGCTTCCTGTCCTCTGCAACAGATGCTGCAAGTGAAACTTGAAGTAAAAGAAGACGGCGTGTAAGAAGAAAGAACACTTTAAGCCAGCTAGCAAATGCGTTTGATGTTGCATTTGCCGCTGCCACTGATGCTACTGCTATTTCTCCTGCCGCTGCTGCTGCTGTTCCTGTTTGTTGTGATGTTGTTTGATTTGTTATTGTTGTTGTATTGGTGGTAGTGCTGTTTTTGTTTACCGTTGTTTCTATTTCTTGTACTGTAACATTTTATCGTTGCGAATAGTTGATGTTTTGTTTGATTTGCAACTTGTTTTGGTTTGTTAAAATGTTCAGAGCATTTTATTATTGTTGTTGATCTGTAGAAATGCATTCACATTTCTGCATTTTACTTTTTTCTTTTTTCTTTGAGTGGCTGATTCTGTTGTTGTTGTTGGTGGTGGTGTGTTTACATTCGCTGTATTCCACATTGCACATAACTGTAAAAATCTAACAAATAATTCTCTCCGATTAGAGTAAAAGTTAGTTGCAAACGGACACACACACGCTCATACGAACACTGGCGAACATACATAGTCACACACACGTATTAATTAAATGACCTATAAGATTCACATTTGATACACAATGTCTCCTCCACACCACGCACATCGGCAAAAGACAAACAATGAATTATAACAGCATATTGCAAATGAGTTTTTATTTAATTTTTTTTTTTTCGTTTCGAATGCGGCTGCCGTTGCCGTTGCGCCGTTTCTGTTGCCGCTACCGCCTGCTCAACCAAAAACAACTCGTTGTTTTCTGTTTTTAGGCCTTGTTGTTAGTCGTAGTATTCGCCATCTCGCTGATATTTCTTCTCTATCTCCATCTCGCATACGTCTACGTGTTTCACTCGCGCGCTCTCCCTCTCTCTCACACACTCTCACTCACAGACACACACGCAAACACACAAATGTGTCATAATTAAGTATGCAAGGCTGTGTGCGTGTGTTTCTGTGTGTATGTATGCGCACTATTACTTGGCCAACACGCACGCACGAAATGGGCCAGCAGCGTGCACAAGTGCGGAGGCAACCGCTTTAAAATTGCGCGCAAAAATTATTGAGCATTGAATTCGAAATCGGCAACCAATAGAAGCTTCAAAATTGAAAATATTAATATTCATAGAGCACTGAGTAGCCTGCAATTGAACATGAAGTCATGGATCGCGCATTTCTTAAAAATCGTATTTGTTTTTTTGTATTTTACTTCCGCATGTTAGCACTGGCTCATCGTACATGTGAACATCAGTTGCTTTCTGCGCCAAAGATGAGTGCCGAGTAAATAGTCGGAATATACCAGAGGCTCGAAGCACCATCTGAAGCTTTAAAGCTTTTCGCGTACGAGTGATTGCCGCTACGATTGCTGTTAGTTAGCTGATTTTTTTTTTAGCGAGTACATCGCAACACAGACCGCTCGCTCGCACGCACATGTACATGTAGACATATTATATATGTATGTATAAGTGTACTAATTCGTGTGTGTGTGTCTGTGTGTGTCGGTGTATAAATATACATACATACGTATAGACGTATGCATGTATAAACGATTATTTTGAGTCTCGCCCGAGACGCGCGACGTTTTCACTGCACACATGTATAAAATTCAGCGAGACAATAATAATAGCGAGTAGAGAGCGAGGGAGCGAGAGCACACATTAAACGCTTGCGTTGGTATTGGTATTTTTCACGCTGGTATGCATACACACAGCACAGGCCCTGCCAACGAGTGCGAGCAGCATTGGAAAAAGAAAGAAAAACAGACGACAGAAAATATATTCCTTTTTTTTTGTCGTTGCTCGTCCGTTTTCTTCTTCATGTCGTATCAAAGTTTTCTATTGCAGAAATTTTGTGTTGTAGGCGTATTTTTGATTTATAGCGTCGTGGAAAAAAATTATTAAATTTTTTGCACTAAATACGAAATTTGCAAAAATTGCAAAGAAAAATATAAAAAAATTGCAGCCAATTTTAAAATTTCGTTTAATAATTTTTGGATAATTTTTTCGCTGCACTTTTAATTTTTAAATATTTTTTAGATTTTTATTTAATTTCGTATTTTTACCTAAAAATTTTCACATTTTTCGTTGATTTAAGAAAATTTTAACAAATTTTTTCGCAACACTAAAACAAAAATTTTCAGTCCGCTTGTGTTGCAGCAGAAAGTCAACTGATTTCGCGAACGAGTAGCAACAGAACTAGAAAGAAAGACCGAAGCTGAAACGACTGTGACTCTGTGTTGTGTTAGTGTCAGACGACGACTACATCGACCACTAATGCCAGCTAGTGGCTACAGCGAGTAAGCGTACTCAACAAAGAGCGCACGCTTGCTCACGGAAAGAGACATCCGTAGCCAGAGTGCGGTGCCCAAGCAAGTGTATAAGCAATTGGCTGCTTTAGGCGGCACGCGTTAGTATGTGTGCGTGAGAGAGAGATAGAGAGAGAGAGAGAGCGTCGCTAAATAACAATCTAACGAGAGGCCACAGTGTTGCATAGTGAGGAATGTGAATGTTCATGTTTTTACCCGTGGCGGCAACACTCGGCGCAGTCTGTATTTCGAAAAACAATTTTGGTGTCGTCGTATTAGGAAGCGTCATTAGTTCTGTCCTTGTCTGGCAGCTAAGCAGCCACTATCAACTCGAGACACAAACAAATCAAATACATATGAAGTATGACAAAATTTTATGTCAGTAGATAAACTATTCAAATAACCCAGAATTTATACGCTATTTTATACAACAGAAATACAAATTGTGGGTATATTATAATTTAAAATTTTACAATTTTTTTTTTATTTCTGTTAAATGGTTTCGCGCTGTTGCACACTCGTTATTATGTACGCATTTTAACACAGACGACATGAAACGACAACACAGATGTGAATAAGACAGACAGACTATACACACTATGGAGATTAGCAAAGTGAAAGCGGGACAAACGGTGATGGCCACACTCAACGAGCAGTGTTACCATTCTGGCTATTTTGTAGCAAATCGAACTATTCTTTAAAGCGATATGCTATACAAATTTTTAAAATGCTATTAGCTATTTTAGCTATTTTATAAAAAAAATGTTTAATTAAAAAATAAATTAAAGAATACAAAAATGCAAAAGTGTATAAGCAAATGTTTCGTGAAGAATGGACAAAGTCCTCTCAATTTAAAGATTGGATTCGAAATGTCGAGTCGGGCAACACGAGAGCAATTTGCACTTAGGGCAAATGCAGTATTTTTGCAAAATTGCATGATCATGAGTGCGTTTGGCGCCTTTGCGTAAAACCCCAAAATTGTTTTTGAGCCGAAGAACACAAGAATATTAATACAGCGAATGAGGAGGCGACATTGTGATTGTATCACTGTTAAAAGACACAGTAGGTTGCGCAAAGAGCAGTTCCGTTACTTTTAATGTTAACTAACAGATCTCCTGTGACGTCACATTTTCAGATTCTGCTCTGCTATATCGGCTGAAGCTTGGCGGGCACTTCAGTAGAAATCTTCCAAACGGTCCAAAACAGCCAAAATTAAGTATGTATATATGTATATATAAGCTAATTTCAATAGTAAATAGCTTAAAAATGGCCAATCGCTAATTTTATTACCATACAATAAAGAATATAAGTACATATATAATGGAATGAATTGGAAGGCCTCTCGAAAGCAGCAAGATATGGCCAAAATGACCAATATGCCAGCAGGAACGGTTGATGAACATAGTCACCAACTAGAGGTTAATGACATAGTTAACTGAGCTTTCGCCATAAGTAATGTTTATACCAATTTACCTACAAATTCAAATATAGTACAAGTTGAAGCTGCTCACACCTGCTGTCATGTCAGAAACACCCGGTGGATTAAAATAAATTTGGTGTATTAATTACAAAATCGAAAACTGAGCATTATATGAGTATTGAAGCATAAGGAAACATATAATCTGCCTAAATCAGCTCCAAAAACATGGGCCGAAGCTAACAATACTTCGTATCATCGAAAGCCATCAGATTCGTAATATAATGAATGAAATTGGTACATATAATCTTGCAGATTGATGGGAAATGCATAATACTTAGTAAAAACTCTTTAGTTTTACACATTCAATCCTTAGATAGTAAGGTTAAAGCCATTAGTAGAAGTGGTCAAGGGATTGCATGATCGATAACTGCCTAGAAAACGACATAGAATATACAAATTAGCAAAACCCCTAATATGTCCGATTCGTGAATCTATATAGGACTTGTGATTAGCCGTTCAGCTCGTTTTATTTACTCTACTAGACTTAAGACAAATAACAGTGTCGAAATTGCTTGAATTTCATACAAAGCTAAGCGCGCGCGCACCATTTTCTGAAATAATGACGTCACGCTGTCAAATCAGCTGTTCGTTTTACATACAGCCTTAGTAGGGCTGCAAAACCATCGATAGATGTTCCCCTCGATAGATTTATCCATCGATGGAATGAACCATCGATACTATCGATAGTTCCATCGAAAATTTGAAGTTCTTAGAAATGAACAAATTTTCAACAATTTAAATCATACATCCAACATAAAATGATTCGTGCAATTTTGTACACATACTTGCACTTTAAATATCAGTTTTACGCTTATTGATGGCTTTAAAAATTTATCCATACTTTCTTTCTACGAAGAACCACCAAATATATTGGAAATATTGCTATAAAAGCTATTTACAATATAATAATATTATCAACTTAATGTTTATACATATGTATATTCCGGAAAATACTTACATGCGTTTCTTCGCGCCACCAAGTAGTAAATTATCGATGGATGAAAAAAACCAAAGATATATCATGAAAGCCCAAATCTATCGATAGACCCCATCGATGGATTTGCAGCCCTATAACCTACTGTCACTCAATCCTGGTGTTCAATATGTAGTGGCATTAAATTCATTTGCACTAGTCATTTTTAAAGCAACATCTACTATTTGTAAATAATATTGCCTACGCTCATCAAGAAAAATGTATCCATTAAACGGAGAAGGACATGTACGAGATGGTTAAGAGCCGCTCTGAGTACTACCACCTGATGGCCGAGAAGATCTACAGGATTCAGAAGGAGCTGGAAGAGAAGCAGCTCGAGCGCAAAGAGCAGCACCAGCAGCAGCTGCTCCAGATGCAACAAGGTGGCCCCAAGCGCCGTCGTTAATCCGACGTCCGTGCCCAACGAGCAGCAGCAGCGCATGCCATTCCTGCAATAGCAGGACAAATTTATATTATTACTATTAACATAGGCTTAAATAACAATAACAACATAGAATTGATTAGTTTTTGGACATATTCCACCGGTGTCTTCTCCCATTCCTTTAATATACAGGCTTTCAAATCACTTTTGTTTGTTAGACCTCGCTTGGCTGTCCTTTTTTTGAGATCAGCCCACAGATTCTCTATGGGATTAAGGTCGGGACTTTGTGCAGGAGTATATAACACCTTTGCACAATTGTAGAGAAGCCAGCACCTTTATGTTAGCTTTGTGTTTGGGGTCATTATCTTGGTAAAACCTAAATGTTGGTTTACCATCCCTAAACTCCAAGGGTTCAGGGGATATCGTAGTCGGGCAGTCTCGACTAGAGCTTTCTTACTTGTTTATACCCTGAACCCATTGAAAATGGGAAATCAGGGTATAATGGTTTTGTGAAAAGTATGTAACAGGCAGAAGGAATCATCGCAGACCCCATAAAGTATATATATTCTTGATCAGGATGACGAGCTGAGTCGATATAGCCCTGCCCATCTGTCCGTCCGTCCCTCCGTCCGTCTGTCCGTATGAGCAAAAGGATCTCAGAAGATATAAGAGCTAGAGAGCGGAAATTTGGCATGCATACTCGTGTATACCATAGGCAGTACAAGTTTATCATATTTTTTCGATAAGTCGTCCGATAACTTTTTTATCGAGAATAATCGAAAAATCGACTTGGTTTTTTCAGCCTAATTTGAACACTTTTAGACCTGGAGACTTAAAATTTGCATTGTATACAAAGTTAATGGATACAAAGATTTTGTGATTTACAGATTTTGGATACCACGCCCTTTTCTCCCCCAATTTGTAAAAATTTCAAGTACCAGAGACTTGTGCTTTGGAATGTACACACAATTTTTACGCTGTGAAAGTTTCATTAAGATCGTATGTCTACAAAAGAAATTATTCAACAAATAAATTATCATAATATTGCCCACATTGCAGCGCAGCCCAAGCGCAGCCGCTGCTTTCTGCGCAGTTAGCAGAGCGCGTGCTTATAAGTGCATGTGTATGTATGTGTCCAGAACGATTAGAATATCAGCTTAGAGGTTTCAGGGTATCTCCTAGTCGAGCAGTCTCGACTGGAGCCTTCTTACTTGTTTATCGATAAAAACCTTATCGAAAATCAGTAATAAAATTATATCTTCTACATCTTGAAAGCTAAAGTCACAAAATTTTAAATGTAGATTCATATGTACTTTTTAGAACTTCGATTTTTGCGTGCGTGCATATATCTGTGTGTGCATGCGTGTGCGAAAAATTATTGCAATATAAGTTGCTTTTAATTTCGCGTTTTTTTCAGAGTTAGCTCTGCTATTTTTTATACCCTGAACCCATTTTCAATGGGAAATCAGGGTATAATGGTTTTGTTAAATGTATGTAACAGGCAGAAGGAGGCGTGGCAGACCCCATTAAGTATATATATTCTTGATAAGGGCGACGAACTGAGTTGATTTAGCCCTATCCGTCTGTCCGTCCGTCCGTCCGTCCGTTTGTCCGTATGTTTGAACGCGTGGATCTCAGGAGATATAAGAGCTATAGACTTGAAATTTTTCCTAGGTCCGATTAAAAACATTATCGAAAACCAGTATCAATTTATATATCCTACATCTTTAAAGCTAGAGTCTCCAAATTTTAAATGTATACTTTTATCACTAACCAGAGAACACATAGACCGGACACGTAGTGTAAATAATAGTAATAGTGTAAATAATAACGAAAACGCATGGCAAACGGCTTGAAGAGTTCGGAATACTCTTCACACAGAAGGGAAGGCATGGAAGGCATTGCTGCGAAGAAATTTCAATTTTTGTGAGCTGCTGCTTGTGCTCACATGCATACATACAGATACACAATTGAGAGAGCAGAGAGCATCGAGAGAGAGAGAGAGAGCAAGGGAAACATCCCAGTGGCGACGACCTGAATGAGGTTTGTTGAAATAATGCATTACATACGATAAAAAAGTAATGCATTACCTATGAACATTTTTTTCAGCGCATTTGTAATGTACAAAATAAAAAGTGCTACTCATACGAAAGAATCGAGCTCTTGTCAACTTCGTTTCTGTATGCCCCTTCCCCGCTAACCAACAAACGATTTTCGTCTTTCGTTGCGTCGCGACGAAATCGCCGAATTTCGTTTTGGACTTTACCGTTTTTTGCATGGAATGCGTGCCTTCTTTCGTTTGGTTTCTTTGTCTATGCCTATTCCTTTTGTGTGTATAGTGTTAATGAGTGTAAATACAAGTTCAAAAATGCATATGTGTGATGATTTCTGTTTTCGTTTTACCCGCCGCGGCGCGTCACTTTTCTGATATTGTTGAGCTGTGCGGACGTAAATTTAAAGGGAAGTATCTGGTATGTATAAATCATCTTACATGTATTTTTAATGACAAAAAAATTAATATTGTTTAATTTACAGATGCTATAAAAACCGAAGGGTCCACTAAGAGGACCTATATAAGTACAATAAGAAACTGCTTTCGGGTCCAGAAAGGTCGACTGGAAAAGCAGAAGTTCGATAATAAGGACAAACTAGATAATAAGACATAGCTTTAGATTTAGATTTAGATAGATAAGACTATACATTTATTTATAGATATTTAGAAATAATAAATAATAATTTTTAAAAATTAAAACAAAAAATACTACATTACTCAAGCGTTTCTATCTTTCAATTAGTAATCAATTATTTCTCCAATTACATTGCATTAAGAAGTAAGCCATTTTATATAGTGGGAAAATGAGTTGCAGGTATATTGTGTTGTAATGTACGCACATTACTAACCCATAAGCGATTTTGAAAATGTATAGGGCGTTTTCTTCAGGTTGCGGAATTTCTACATTACAATATTTAAAAAGTATACGCATGGGTAATGGAGAGCCGAAGGAAACTTCGTCACCTCATTACTTTCTGCATTACAAAATTCAATAATTTCATGCACCAGGGAGAAAAAGCGGCCATTCCTTAAAAAAGTAAGGCAGCTTGTAATCGATCTTTTCATGCACATAGGCGACAAGTAATCCATGAGTAATGGACAAAATAATGGGCATTTCCGCCACTGGGATTGAGCATAGAGGGATCTTTTGTTCAACATTTGACCATCTCGGTCGAGCGCATGAAGCGAAATGATTGTGCTTTCGTATATTTTAGTAACCCAAACCTAAAAGTGAGGAGCCGAGCGAATACGAAGTTGTCTGGGGTGTTAACGCTCGAAAAAAAGTGTGCAAAATGCTTTACACTACGTGTCCGGTCTATGTGCTCTCTGGTTAGTGCTTTTATGCATTTTATATAATTTCGGTTTTTGTCAAAAAGTTAAGTTCCCTTAGTAAGCCACCACTGCAGCCAATGCGTGTTTATGCGTGTTATGCGTTTACGCGAAAAATGATTGAAACAGCATTGCTCGAAGTGCTCAGGGGATCTCGTAGTCGGGCAGTCTCGACTAGAGCTTTCTTACTTGTTTTGGTCTCAAAGTGTGGCAACGCTGTCAACGGGAAGCTCCAGCGAGTGCCCGTTCAATTAGTCATTTGGATTAGTCATTAAATCGAGATCTACTATTTGTAATAATATTGCCTACGCCCATCGATCATAGACAGACGGAGTGCTTTAATCAAGTAAAATGTTCAATGCGGCGGGCACTGGAGCGGGCGGCGGTGCGCCTGGCAACGGCGCAGACTGGCGTGAGTCGATCACCGCGGACCTGCGAAATCATCTCGTGCACAAGCTGGTGGTGGCGATAAGTCCGACCTCAGATCCGACCTCAGATCTGGTCACGCACGCTGAGGAGGTGGAGCAGGATATTTACGAGATAGCCCAGTGCCGTTCTGAGTACTACCACCTGCTGGCGGAGGAGATCTACAGGATACAGAAGGAGAGGGGAGAACCGACTTAAGCGCAAACAGACTAGGAGATACCCTAAACCCTACAAGTTAATATTCTAACCATTTTGCACTTCTTGTATGCAACAATGTTCAAATGTGTGTATATTCCAAAGTACAAGTCTCTAGTACTTGAAATACGTTTTTTACAAATTGGGGGGCAAAGGGAGCGTGGTATCAAAAATCTGTAAGAGACAAAATGTGTTTATTCATTAAATGTATATACACAGTAAATCTGTAAATTAGTCTCCAGGCCTCAAATTATTGGAATTAAGCAGAAAAAAACTAAATAAATTTATCAATTATTCAGAATAATTTATTCTTGATAAAGAAGAAATCGGACGAGTTATAGAAAAAATATGATAAACTCGTACTGCGTATGATATACACGAGTACGCATGCAATTTCAGCTCCCTAGCTCTTATATCTTTTGAGATTGACGCGTATATACGGACGGATGGACAGATGGACAGGGCTATATCGACTCAGCTCTTCGTCCTGATCAAGAATATATATATACTTTATGGGGTCTTCGATGATTCTTTCTGCCTGTTACATACTTTTCACAAAGCCATTATACCCTGATTTCCCATTTTCATTGGATTCAGGGTATAACAAGTAAGAAAGTTCTAGTCGAGACTGCTCGACTACGAGATCCCCTGAACCCTTCGAGGAACTGATATGTCAATAATTCATCGCGCCTTTCTGCTTACTCAAGAAACACACACACACTCTCAGACACACATATATAGGAGATATAATTAAATAACTGATTTTCGATAAGGTTTTTAATCGATATCGATATCTAAATGAGTTATCGATTATTGGAGATAAAGTCGATATGCATTCAAGTCTCTAGCCTAGCCTAGTCTAATACGGACAGACAGACGGACAGGGCCAAATTGACTTAGCTCGTCGCCTTGATCAAGAATATATGTAAATACTTTGTGGGGTCTGCCACGCCTCCTTCTGCCTGTTGCATACATTTCAACAAAACCATTATACCTTGATTTCCCATTTTCAATGGGTTCAGGGCCACATATTTAAATATTTATTTGTATGCATATAAATGCTTATGTGTGTATTTACATATGAATTTGAGAGTGGTATAGATACATATACATACACCTGTAGATGCATGTGCATTTATATACCTTTAGTATATGTACAAATATGCATCTAAGTATATTTAAAAGTTGCTTAGCTGTTCTATAATATTATTTAGCTCTTGCTGGAATTCGTTTGAGGCATCACGAGGTAGGTTTATAAATGATTTTTCATTTATTTACATTGTGTTTAATTATTTTATTTTGTAGATAAACGAACGCATCGAGTGCCGAAGGAATATTTTCTATATCAAGCACATTATTGTTTTTATGGATAATGTGATGAAGCTCTTTCCTTCCCAGTAGAGATTTTAATTCATGGTGTTTTTGCTTAAATGTGCGTAACAGGCAAAAAGAGGCGCTGAACTATGTATTAGCTTATATAAGAGAATACATTGAGAAAGTTAAGATCAACCTTAAGCAAAGAGAACAGTTCCAGTCGGAAGTATTTGACGTTGATATATTCATATATACAATAGCTATCTACAACGGAATTTCAGGACAAACTGCTAATGTCGCATTGATCCCTCTAGTAGCTCGAAGTACGTAGTACTGAAATTTACTATGCGTACAGTATTCGTTCAGTATTCGTATTATGCGTAAGTAAATTCGATTAATCTAGAAGGAAATAAATGTCATTAAATTGGAATTGCTCTGCTATGAAGCTGTGGCTCGAACTATTGTTCCATTGCTTATTTAGTATATGTACATATGTAATGAAGAAAATTGTAGACGGCTCCGGATAGCTCGGCTGGTATGGTATGTCTCTGGCTGCTATAATGCTCGAGATAATAGAGTTTATATAAACTATAGTTTTGCTTGTTACATTGCATTTTCAGGGCCCCTAGATAAGAAGCTCTTATCTTGAATGCTGTGCTGGCATCCGGTGACCGTGTGATTTTGGTTTGTGATAAGTATTCTGCAGAGAAAGAGTAAAATGTGTTACGGATACTATAACTTATGCTAACATAGCAAAAGAAATCCGCGTAATATTCCTTTCTTCTGTCGCAATTTTTTCACATTTATTTTTTTATGAGTTAGGTCTGCAAGGATTAGCTGTATCGATAGTTGTTATCGATGGAAGCAAAAATCGCTAAGCATAAGTGTGCCTCAGCTCGCCAGGTGGCTGCCTTATAAAATTGATTCGGCTATTTCTTTAAATATTATTATTTTTTATTTAAATTCAATAAGCACAATATTGGAATTAATGTGGTATATTAAGAAATGGGGCTATATATATTATATTATATATATCATTACGTTTACAGAAATTATTATATGTTGGAAACCTTACAAATAGTCATCACATTTAACGCCCTCTGGCGGTTAAAGGTTAAATTGAAGCACAAATAAATATTGTAAATAATTTATCGTCCAATAATTTTTTCATTTGATAACTCAACTTCACATAGCATGAATTAAGAATACATAACGCCACTAACTATACAAGTGATGTATGGTTATTGATAACGCAAAATTAATTTCAAATAAAGCGTCACCTGTGGGCGATATGCCTAATTCAGAAAAGTCCACACTTACATTATCACTTTCGCAGCAGTCAGCTCTTGTACGTTGAAGCGGGGCATAAAAGTATGTTTCAAACTTTGAAATGATATATTATGTGTTTCTCTATGGTCTTATAAGAATTTTGTATCTAATTTGCTTATCTTTACAAGCGAAGATTTCTATTGTTAAGCATATATTCCGAAAAATATTTGAGTTGGTTGAAAATTGAAAATTGAGTAGCCTAATTTGATTAAATTTGCAAATTAGAAAATAAACAGTAAAAAAGTTCTAGTCGAGACTGCTCGACTACGAGATCCCCTGAACTATTCGTGCAACTGATATTTCAATAATTATTCGCACATGCACACACACAGGCATACGCACGCACGCATAGACACGCATTGGCTGCAGTGCACTATGGGGAAAAATCCAAATTATCGGGTATTAATTAATAACTTAAAAACTAAGCCAGATTTTTTGATCCGGTTTTTGTATTATTAATATGTATACCATCAGAAATATATTTTAGAAAAATGGGCGTGTCACCGCCCACCCAAAAAAAATTTATTAAAATTTTGTATTAAAAATTTTTTTTTTTTTAAGAATTTTGCTTGTTAATACTTTAAAATAATAATTTTAATTGAAAACTATCGAGCTTTCATAAAATCGAAATGAGTTTTCTTCAGTTTCGAGTTCCAGATCAGACCGAAATATTGATCCGCTAAAAAAACTTCGTGTTCTTCAACTGATTTAATTGTGCCTTCAACTTTACATAATACAAGACGTACAACTTCATTAGACAGCGACCTTTATGCTTTTAAACTCGTTTCTAAAGATTTGCCGAAGAAATAATCTGATCAGATGTATCCACTGCTTTATTACATCCAGCGAAATGATGGATTCTGCTATCCTTCCATTCGTGATGAAATTTGTCTGATTTATAGACCTGGTTGTGCAAATAAGACGCTTCTTTGCCAAAAATGCCTACAAGATGAATCTTCCTCGACTGTTTTATAAACATTTGCTGTCATAGGCAGTCATTCATAGTTGTCAGCTAGTTTTTGTTCCTGCTGCATTTCTTCCATTTGTCATCCATTGGCAAAAAAGCACCTTTTGCTTTTTATACCCTGAACCCATTTTCAATGGGAAATCAGGGTATAATGGTTTTGTTGAAATGTATGTAACAGGCAGAAGGAGGTGTGGCAGACCCCACAAAGTATATATATTCTTGATCAGGGCGACGAGCTGAGTTGATTTGGCCCTGTCCGTCTGTCTGTCCGTCTGTCCGTCTGTCCGTCCGTCCGTCTGTCCGTCTGTCCGTCTGTCCGTATGTATGAACGCGTCGATTTCAGAAGATATAAGAGCTAGAGACTTAAAATTTTTTTTTAAATGTCCGTAATTACAGCGCGCATATCAAGTTTATCATTAAAAATCGATAACTCATCTCGATATTTTTTTATCGATAAAAAACCTTATCGAAAACCAGTTATAAAATTATATTTTCACACCTTTATTGCTAGAGTCTCCAAATTTTTAATGTATGCCTATATGCAATTTATACAATTTCGGTTTTTCTTAAAATTTACCCCCCACCCTTAAATTCACCCCCTCACCCTCACACTCAAATACTAGAGACTTGTGCTTTGGCAATTACATGCATATCCATTTCATAATCATAATCTGAAAGTTTCATGAAGATCGTACGTCCACAAAAAGTTATTAAGCAATTAAGTTCTCATAGTAAGCGCTCACTGCCGCCCATGCGTGTTTATGCTTGTATGTGTATATGTATGTAATTGTTTGTGTATGTGTGTGTGTGTGTGTGTGTATGTGTGTATGTATGTGTGTGTATGTGTATGTATGCCTGTGTGTGCGTGCGTGCGTGCGTGTGTGTGTGTGTGTGTGTGTGCGTGTTTCTTGTGTAAGCTGAAAGACGCGAAAAATTATTGAAATAGCTATTATTCCAAGGGTTCAGGGGATCTCGTAGTCGAGTAGTCTCAACTAGAGCTTTCTTACTTGTTTAATATCATTTACAAGTTGAATCAATATTAGTCTTATTTAGTTTCAAAATCACAATTACTATTTCTTGGTTAGAGTTGCCTTTTTCATTGAGCCAAATATCACACAGGTCAGCTCATAGTCACCTGCTAAAAATTGATTTGCGCCGGTTGTGCGCAAAAGTGCACATTGAGACAAAGGCACTAAGATCCCAATTGATTACTCTATAACATGCAATTGGAATTACACTGGTGCGCCCTGGTGGCTGTTTTATATGTCTTTGCAAAGTTTAATTTTATTTACAAGAAATGAAATTTGACAACATTTGCTAATTATACAATAAATGATTAAAATAAGTTCAAACATCAATTGGTTTTTAAGCCAACGCATAGTAGAAGCCCTAAAAATTCATATCCTTTTTAAATTTCTCAAAAATAATGTCTGGTCATTGAATAACGATGATTTGAAAATCGGCTAACACAAATTGTAAGCTGAAGGCAAATGCTTTTCGAAGATAACAGCTGACTTTAACAGCTGTTAGGCTTAACAGTGGACTGTTATTCAACATTTTGGGTACAGTACCTTAAAGTTTGGAGTTTTATTAAGATGTTAACATAAAAAAATTATAAATTTTCATACTTCGCAAAAATGACTAAATACCCGAAAAACGGCAAAATTCCCCATAGTGCAGTGGTGGCTTACTATGGGAAATTAATTGTTAAATAACTTTTCTTGTTGATGGACGATCTTCAGATTATGATTATATGGATACGCATGTATTTGCCAAAGCACAAGTCTCTAGTATTTGATATACGTCTTTTATAAAGGTGTAGGTGAGGGGGTGAATATGGGGGGAGGGGTTAAAGTTCAACAAAAATCGAATTTGGCAATTCTAGCTTTAAGGATGTAGTATACATAAATTTATTACTGGGTTTCGATATTTTATTAAATCGATAACAAAATAACGCAAGTTATCGATTTTTAAAGCAAAACTCGATATGCGCGAGGACCTTTGAAAAAATGCATTAAAATGGGAAATCAGGGTATAATGGCTTAGAGCTACAGTCTCCAAACTTTATATGTAGACTTATATCTATGTACCAAAAATCGATAACTCATCCCGTTATTTTGTTATCGATAAAACCCTTATCGAAAATCAGTTTAAAAAATATTTCACCTACATATTTAAAGCTAGAGTCTCCAAATGGTTTATGAATACTTATATGCATTTTATACAATTTCGTTTTTTTTTTTAAATTTACCCCCACCCCTATATCCACCTTCTCACCATCACCTTTGTAAAAGACGTATTTCAAATACTAGAGACTGGTGTTTTGGCAAAGGCATGCATATCCATGTTATAATCATAATCTGAAAGTTTCATGAAGATCGTTTATCGACAAGAAAAGTTATTAAACAATCAAGTTCCCATAGTAAGCCACCACTGCAGCCAGTGCGTGTTTATGCATGCGTGCGTATGCCTGTGTGTGTGCATGTGCGAATAATTATTGAAATATCAGTTGCTGGAAGGGTTCAGGGGATCTCGTAGTCGAGCAGTCTCGACTAGAACTTTTTTACTTGTTTTATATGTTTTCCATAAATATTTATGAAGTGAAGAAAATAAAAGTTATTGAAGTTGGGTTTATATTATATAATGAGTGAATATTAAAATTTTCAATAAATATGTACTTTCTGTATTCTGCTAGGAACGTAATATCTATATCGCAATTGCATGATGCTGCATGGGTAATAAGAATTAAGCGATTTGACAGTTGCGGCAAACAGTCCACTAATATTACTTGGTTAATGCTGCCTTTGGGGACAACTGGGCCGACAAAGGGCCGAGTGAAACGGAACCTGTGTGCGGCAGGTTCTAACGTCGGGGAGAACAAATAAGAAGACACAAAAAAATGAACAAAAACCGTCGCAATTTGTAGGTCGAGCAATTAATGCCATTGTCTTCGTGCTACCTTTTTGATTTGTCGTCCGTCGTCCGTCGTCCACTTGCAGCAGCATTTCGCAAAAAAGAACAGAAGACCGAAAAGGAAAAACGATTTCAATTTACAATTTTCACATAGCCTGCGGCAGCAGCAGCAGCAGAGAGGCTCTCTGCCACGGCCACTGCCACCGTTTCGATGCGGCCCAAACAGCGGCAACGGCACAGCGGGGCGTGCGGTGCCAGATGAGAGAAGCCGCCCACTGCGGGGCGCCTAGCTGATTATCATTTCGACACCCAATTCTCTATGCAGTGGCGTCGGCATTTCGTTCTGTTCTCTCTCTCCCACTCTCTCTGACTTACCCACTCTCTCTGTCCAATGTCCAACATCTCGTGATCTATTTGGTCCAGTGGTCCAGGCGATCAAGTGCACGAGCGAGCCCTTCGTCTTCTCCTCCTCTTTTTTTTTTTTTTTTTTGATATTTTTGTCAAGTGATTTCCAGGAATGTGTTAGAAAACTTCTTGTTTTCGGCACTCGCAGCAGCAGCAGCATGAGCAGGCATATGGCTGTAAATTAATGCTGTTGACATTTTTAGTGTAAAATACGCATGCTTCGAATCTGAGAAATAGAGTATACCCACAGGCAGCGCAAGAGCTCTAGACCAACTGTTTTCTAATCACTTGTTCGCGGTTTCTGTTGCATCGTTGCGCACTTGTGTCCTTTGCCCATAACCGCAAAAGCAAGAGACCACGACAAATTAAGACTGTGTAAGTGTGAGAGGGAGAGAGCGAGAAAGAGAAAGATAAAGGGATACCCAGATGTTTAATTTAGTGCATGTTGTAATTAGAATCCATTGTCTGTTGATTTGATCAAGAAATATTTTGCATCCTAGATTTTCTAGAAAGTTTCGTACGCCTAGGATCAGGCCATATTAACCGGCTCCCGAAAAAGGAAAGAGCGTTTTACAATTTAGTTACAAACATAAAATTTCCCCAACATAAAAACGTGAAAAAGGGTCCCCACATAGATTGTTGGCTAGGGCCCCGAGGAGGGTTAATCCGGCTTTGGCTCATGACTATCATGAAGTGCATATAAGAGCATTCGAATCATATATAAATATAATTTATCTATACAAATAACACAACTCCGAATCAACTTATATCCTAAGCACGACCGAAAGATACCCTGCACGAGACAAATTCGAAGCAATATTACGCACTTTACGTACCTAGCAAGTGTGATACTATTTTGAATGAGTATGGATAAACGTTATCAGAGCTATTTACACAATTAAAATATTAAAATACTTAATAAGATTAACCTCGCATTTAAATACAAGTCACCTGATGGTCAATCAAATTACCGTTATTGTAATATGGCGTTTCCATTCTTCCATTCTACTTCTTAGCTGGGCTAACGTAATCAGTGTCACCTGGAACAAATCAGTTTATGCATAATAATGTAATTATTACATTCATATATTTCAGATCTTTCTTTATATATAATATATTTGATATACAATATAATGTTAAATCAATCAATAATAAATAACTCAATAAATCAAATCCCAAATGATTTTTCTGTTATTGCAATTTGATAATCTCAAGCTCTTATTGGGTCACATTCCAGCACATTTGTGCTTGTTCTTCTAACCATAAGCCACACACCCCTTTGAAAATAGGTTTCAAAATATCCTCGCTCCTGGTTTAACAATCGGTACTAGTAAACTATTTTAAATGCTTTGTAACTTAATCTTCAATTATAATATAAAACAAGTAAGAAGGCTCTTGTCGAGACTGATCGACTAGGAGATACCCTGAACCCTCCAAGCTGATATTCTAATCATTCTATACTTCTTCTATGATCACGTATAACAACGCGCTCTGCTAACGGCGCAGTAAGCAGCGACTGCGCTTGGGCTGCGCTGCAGTGTGGGCAATATTATGAGAACTTATTAGTTGAATAATTTCTTTTGTAGACGGACAATCCTTATGAAACTTTCAAAGCGTAATCATATGGCTAAAATGTGTGTACATTTCAAAGCACATCTCTAGTATTAGAGATACGTTTTTTGAAAATTGGGGGCGAAGGGGGCTTCGTATCCAAAATCTATAAAGGACAAAATTTTTCTATTCATCAAATGTATATACAAAGTAAATTTTTAGGTCTAAAAGTGTTCAAATTATGCTGAAAAAAAACAAAATCAATTTTTCGATTATTCTCGTTAAAAATGTTATCGAAAAAATATGATGAACTTGTACTGCCTATGGTATACACGAGTATACATGCCAAATTTCAGCTCTCTAGCTCTTATAACTTCTGAGACGAACAGACGGACAGGGCTATATCGACTTAGCTCATTACCCTGATCAAGAATATATACACTTTGTGGGGTCTGCCACGCCTCCTTCTGCCTGTTACATACATTTCAACAAAACCATTATACCCTGATTTCCCATTTTAAATGGGTTCAGGGCATATCAAGTAAGAAAGCTCTAGTCGAGATTGCTCACACACGCATAAACACGCATGGACTGCAGTGTGGGCTTACTATGGGAACTTGATTGTTTAATAACTTTTCTTGTCGCGAAACGATCTTCATGAAACTTTCAGATTATGATTATAACATGGATATGCATGCATATGCCAAAACACAAGTCTCTAGTATTTGAAATACGCCTTTTACAAAGGTGTTGGTGAGGGGGGTGAATATAGAGGCAATGGTTTTAACAAAATCCGAAATTATATGAAATACATATAAATATATGTTTAAAATTTGACACTTTAGCTTTAAAGATGTAGGAGATATAATTATATAACTGATTTTCGATAAGGGTTTGTATCGAAAACAAAATAACAAGAGTAGTTATCAATTTTTTGAGATAAACTCAATATGCGCGCTATATATACGGATATTAAAAAAAAAATTGAAGTCTCTAGGTCTTATATCTTCTGAAATCGATGCGTTCAAATATACGAACAGAAAGACTGGCAAGGCCAAATCGACTCAGTTCGTCGCTCTGATCAAGAATATATATACTTTGTGGGGTCTGCCACGCCTTCTTCTGCGTGTGACATACATTTCAGCAATGGGTTCAGGGTATAAAAAGTCAATTTGTTAGGTGCTATAGGTTGGGAGATTGGTGCATACGTTCGCCCGGATCAACAAACAGATGGACAGGTTTATATCGAATTGGCTGTTATTCCTGGTCAATAGTATATATGTATATAATATATGTGGTATCCGCCTACTTCGGCCTGTTGTACACATTTAAAGAGAGGTTTGACGTGCCGAATGGGATTCTGAAAATAAAATAGACTTATCTGATCAGGCTTACGAGATGCGAGATGAGGCTTTGTCAGACACATTCCGATATCGGAAAGTACTTGAGAGAGGATTACTACTCAAATAGCGTAAAAATTTCTTAAAAAAAAAAGTATCTTCCTATCATCTATGTCAAAGTTGAAAAAGTACAAAGGTTTTAGAGCAGAGGTATTTCATGAACTCATCAATTCGTGTTTTTATTTATGTTTGATATGAAATCGAGAGCTAATACCCTAAGTGATCTATGGCAAAACTCGCTGTATATGCATGTCTATATTCGTGGACTTGGTGACTTAGAGACTGGTGCGATTTGGATTTGGATCTGTGTATTCTGACTTTAGGGCTCAAAGGCAATTGCTGTAGAAAAAACCACTAGATTTACGCTGTAATCTTGGAAAGTCTACAGCAGAGCGGGCAAAATATTTGCAGACAGTGAAAGGATTTAAATGTGAAATCCCGTAAATCCAATTTACAGAAAGCTGCATATCGGCCAATGCTTGGGAATGGCTAAAGGGTAGAGGCTAGAGGGTAAAGGGTAACGGGTTAGGGTTTCCAGGAGACTAACCCAAGAGCGTGCAATGCAAATTTAATGAAATCTCAATTGAAGGCGAACTAAGTTGCTCCTGTCCTACCTGGGATGCTGTTGTCATGGTAGCTGCTGCCTCTGCTGATAGTCATCGAAGAGGGGTGACGGCTAGAGATGCACAACCTTGCTTGCGGATTACCGCAGATCCTTTAAGCCTTTGACTTTTCCTGCTAAGCGATCGTAAAACGTGGGTTATGTATTTATGGCCCCCGCATCCACCCATCCATGGCTGCTGCCCGGTCACAGTCTGAGCAACTTCACCAACCTGGCTGGGTGCGGTTTAATCCGAGACCACCAAAGAGATCATGGCGCACTTATTTAATCTGCTCAGTTGGGTGCAAATTGTTTCTTAAGCGGGTAGCTGACCTCAGGATACCTTTGGGAAGCGGATAATCCTTCCCATCGCTGCTTGCCGGGATTAGCATATCATTTTGAGTGAAAATCCAAGTAGACCAGCTAGAAGCTTTGTTCGTTTGTTTGGCTGTTGTTGGTAATCGTGGAAAAGTCAAAGGCAAAAGCCAAATGAAACAAAAATGACTAAAAATCAAAATCAAAATCAAAATGAGAGAAATTTACAAAACTTGCACTACCTGTTTACCAACTACCTGGCTTTCGAGTTCGAGTTCGACTTCCAGTCAGTTCGGGACCCCGTTTCGGAAACCGGCTCAAGTTCTTCTACCTTGTGCCAAGGGATTAAGGTGCGCTGTTTGGAGGGCATGTTGTGCTAATCAATTGATTAGCACTGCTTTGGGGATCGACGTGGGAGTGATCGATAATGCTGTAGAATATATATAGAATTAGATATATATACATATATGGAAGATATGCATAGGTATGTCCTTGCAGAGGGTGAAGCTGCTGTTTTTTGGGCAATCGAAATTGCGTTAAGGAACACAAATTGAAGAGAGGTAAACAGAGAGAGAGAGAGAGGCTGGAGGAAAAAATTTCTGAAGTGATATAGAGAGAGAGAAGGGGAGATATATAAACATGGAGAGAGATCGGGATCGGGAGAGAGATGAGAGGGAAAGATAGAGAGAGACTTGGGGAAGGAATTAATAAAGGAAGAGTGAGAGAGAGAAAGATAATGAGACATAGAGAGAGAAGGGGATCGGGAGATAGAGGGGAGAGAGGGAGAAAAGAGAGGGAAAGAAGAGAACAGAGAGAAGAGAAAAGAAACTAGAGAAAGGTAAAGAGAGAGAGAGACAGAAAAAAAAGAGGTGAGAGAGAAAATTGAGAAAAAAGAGATAAAACAAAAACAACAATAATTCTGCTTTATATACATATGTATATACTTACATATATTAGAAGATTATATATTAAAGATTTGAAGGTATTGTCAAATCATTAAGATATTGTTAACTTTCAAGATTTAACTGTGACTACTACTAGTTCATACATATAATAAAAAATATATTTTCATCTTATGGAGGAAAACGTGTCAAATTATTAAATATCAATTAATGTTAATGAAAATAAAAATAAATATGTAAATATAAATGTATATGCCATTGCCAATGAGGTTTTCCAGAATATTGTATTGTATAAATTTTGGTCTTTTATTTACTATGGATAGCAATGAAAAATTATTAAAATTATTATGTGATAGGCAACAAAATTTGCTGTAAACTATCACTTTTTTCGACAAACTATGAACATTTTTAAAAGCTATAAATTATATATTGTTATTATATATTATAAAATTGAATTTTTTCATCTTTTTGAAAGTTTTGAACATTTGAATTTTCGATTTGATTTGAATTGATTTTAATTATTTATTTTATTTTTATAACTTTTGCATAAAACACATATTTTTTTCTTAAATAGTTCACTACGTTCTTATGCATAAGTACTCACAACAAATTATATGGCTTTAAAGCAACTTTGTATAACAGAATTAAAGTTATAAATTGAAGTGCACCTATTATGGATCAGTTGAAATATCATAAATACTTTCGTGTTTAAAACAACTGCGACAGCAATAGAGAAATTACATCAACAACATGGTGTATGAATAATAATTTTAAGTTCGCGAAGGAAATAAAACGAAAGAGAGATATATTAGTTATACATATATATGTATGTAAATATGAACGTATACCTACATACATATGTATGTACGTACATACGTGTACGTTTGCTGTTCAAAAGTTCGTCTTTTACCTTGCAAATCGTCCAAGAATCAATTTGAATTAGCTTTGGGCATCTAGAAAAAGGATTTGCCATATTGAATTATAGCACATTTCTATCTCCAATTATCTTGATTCACTTTATAATATATAATGCTAATTAATTATGACATGTGTCTGACAGTGCAAAAGCTTGAAAAGTAAAGATGACAATTCTAATTATCTATTGATGAGAAATTCTGTGATTATATATTATCGAATATGTATGTATATCGATTAGGAACATAAGAGTAGTGCCAGATCGCCACAACTCTATAAGACGCATGCAGAAAAAAAACTATTTAATTGTTTATTATCTTCGCAGCAAATTAATTAATATATTTTCAAAAAACAAAAAAAAAATAAATAAATAATAAATAAATAAATAAAAATAATAAAAATAATTATAATAATTTTATCTGGCACAGTTTGTAGTTGCTAGCTAACACAAATACATAAACAACACAGCCTGCTGCGCCTTCAAAGAATCCAATGCACACGCATACGCATATACACACACACGCACACACACATAGCAGACGAGAGTGTGTTAAGGGCAGTTAGAGCAAGAGCGCGAAAACAGCTCAGCCGACTTCGTCGTCGTTGTTCTTGTCGCTGTGGTGCTCCGTGGTGGTGTTTGGGCAACGCCCCTTTAAATACAGTTATTTCATTGGGCCGCGACCACAAATTTATTAGATTTTATTGTTATTGTATTGATATTTGAATTATGCGCGCCGCATTGAGACTTTTCCCTTGGGCTTTTACACGGCGACTTGTGTATGTATGAATACATGTTGTTTTTTTTTTTTTTTTTTCTTTTTTTAATAAAGATTTTTGTCTCTTTAAGCATTTTTGTAAATTTTATGTAGCATGAACGAAATCATTTGTATTGTAATTGTAAAAATTATTAATATTAGATGGTTAAAATTTAAATAGTAATTTCCAAATTCGAATAAATATTAGTTAAATGACTTTAATTGTTAAAATAAAATAAAAATTTAAGTACTTTTTTACTTAATATTTATATATGTATGTGTCGCTTAATTTACATGATCTGCGAAAGAAATATAAACATTTATATATATATAAACATATGGTGTATATGTGTCTATGTTAGTGTGTACATACATATGTATGCATGTACATATAAGTTATGCTTGTTATTTTCTCAAGTTCATCGATATGCCTATACATACATACATTTGTAGAAACATACAAAATAAAAACGCAAAAAATAATCAACAAACTTTAAGAATGTATGAGCATGGATATGTACTAAATGTTCCCTTTACCTACATACTGATATGTAGCATCATGCCTAAGAATCAGGGTAAAGCCGTAGCCGCAGCCGCAGCCGTATGCGCGTTTCAAGCAAAAATACTTATGAGTAAGGCTCGCCCAATTGCTTTGACACACAAACCCACACATAGAAATTAAAACAAAACGCCTATACGAGCGCTGGTAGAGCTAACAACAACAAGAACAACAACGCATTGCATTGCACATGAACACATACAAATGTGCGCGCGCATACATGCATACACATACACACATAAATACGCGCACACACTGGAGAAGAGTATGCGCGCGAATGGGAGCGAGCTAATGAGCGCGCATGTGAGCGAGCGAGACAAAGAGCCGAATGAACGTTTTGTCGATGCATACAGCGGGCAAGCGCGGAGGAAACAACCACCAAGCATGCTGAAGGCGCACGTTGCTGCTGCTAAAAGAGCACAGCACGATTCGCTGCCGGCGTCGCCGTCGCTGCCTGCTGCCGTCATCACTGATTCGTTTTGTACGTTGTTAGACTCTCTCGCTGCGTTTTGAATTCAGTCGACAACGATAATTACCGGTGGTTGTATCTCGAGCGCTGCGACTGAGACCGAACTGACCAAAACAAGCATACGAAGCCCGCGCTCGCGTTTCTCGCCTATCAACCAAAAATACGAACGCTGCAGCAATAGCAACAGCAACAACAACAGCAGTTTCACCAATTGTGAGCAGTGAGTGAGTGTACGAGAAATATAACGAAGCCAAATTCGAATTTGTTGTGCCCGGTTACTTGTGGGTTGCCTCTGAACGCAAATTATTATTGACTATAGCGGCGACTTCGATGTCAGCGCACTGTGCAATTATTAAAGAGAAAACAACAACAGCAACAAGCAGTAGCAATAGCACCAGCAGTATTAGCAGTAGCAGCAACAGCAACAGCAACAGCAGCAGTAGCTGCGTTAGCTACAGCAACAAGAACACAAGAAGCAAGGAAATTAATGCAGAGTTGGCGATCGACGCGTTAAGGCTATAATTATTTGAACGCATACGCATATGCTGTTTGTGCACCCTATAAAACAATATAAGTGAAAAGCGTGCCATAATTATAAGAACAACAGCAACAACAGCAACAACAGCAGCAACAGCATCGGCAGCATCAGAAGCAAAACGAGGGCAGTCTAATAACAATAATCAAAAACCGCAAACAAAATCAATAAACGGCAATGTGCGAAAATTGCTAAAAACAACAGCAAAAGGAAAACAAAAGAAAGGAAAAGCAAAGCAAAATACATCAGCAGTCAGCTAAATCAGCAACACCAATAACGACAGCAGCCATTAAAATTGCCAACATGATTGACGCCACCTGCAATTATTTGAATCCCTATACGCTGCCCCAGCCAACAGGCATTCAGCAGCAGCAGCAGCTCCAACAGCAGCAGCAACTGCAAATACAACAACAACAGCATCAGCAGCAGCAGCAGCAACATCAACAGCAACATCAACAGCAGCAGGAGCAACAGCAACCAAGTCATGATTTCATTAGCGCCACATTGCTGTCTGCCTCGACGTCCACCTCCGCCTCCAACTGCGACTCGACTGCCTCCTCTCCGCTAGCATTTTACGGCAAGCAGGGAAATGCATCGCCGACAGTTTCTGCATCGACCGCATCATCACATCAGGCGGTGCCGCCAATGAAGCTGGAAATGCAATATCCGCCACAGGCATCATCCACGGGCAGTGCATCGCCCAACTCCAGTTTGTCACAATCGGCCGCTTCCTCTGCATCGGTGTCGCCCAGCATTTTCCCATCGCCAGCGCAGTCCTTTGCCTCGATATCCACTAGTCCGCCAGCCGCAGCCGGCGGTGGCTCCTCCTCGGCCGCCGCAGCAGCCGTCGCCGCAGCCGCTGCCGCCGACCTGGGCGCCGCGGCTGTGGCTAGCGCCTACAGCTGGAATACGGCTGCTTACACAGCGCTACCAACAAGGTAGGTTCATTCATCCATTTATCCACCTGATTCATCGATACACCTATCATTCCCTTTCGCGCTCTCCTCTTTGGGCTACGTTTAACACGCTCTAATTTGTTGCCTCCGTTTTGTTTTTCTTTTTTTGCCGTAGAACTCAATTTCCGTATGCTCAATATGCAACGTACGGAAATGTGGCATCAGTTGGCGTTGCAGCATCGGCGTCGGCCGCGTGGTTCTCGCACCAGGAGCGCCTCTACCAGCCGTGGTCCTCGCAGAGCTATCCGAGCTTCAACTTTGACGACATCGCCTTCCAGACACAGCTCCAGCGTCGCTCCGTGCGCTGCACCTGCCCCAACTGCACCAACGAGATGAGCGGCTTGCCGCCCATCGTTGGGCCGGATGAGCGCGGCCGCAAGCAGCACATCTGCCATATTCCCGGCTGTGAGCGGCTCTACGGCAAGGCTTCACACCTGAAGACCCATCTGCGATGGCACACGGGCGAGCGTCCGTTCCTCTGTCTGACGTGCGGCAAGCGCTTCTCGCGCTCCGACGAGCTGCAGCGCCACGGACGCACCCACACCAACTACCGTCCCTACGCCTGCCCCATCTGCTCCAAGAAGTTCTCGCGCAGCGATCACCTCAGCAAGCACAAGAAGACCCACTTCAAGGACAAGAAAACGAAAAAGGCCCTGACCGCCGAGGCCAAGGAACAGGCGGCGGCGGCCATCAAGCAGGAGAAGTCCGAGAAGGCGCTCAACGGCAGCAAGAAGGCGCTGAAGAGCACCGCGGCTGTCGTCACGGCGCCAATGATCGGCGGCAGCAGCAGCAACAGCAGCAGCAGCATGCAATTCAAGCAGGAGCAGCCGGACAGCCTGGGCTATGCACCCTACGCGACAGCAGCAGCAGCGGCAGCCGTTGCAGCCAGCAGTCTGCCACCCCCTCTACCGCCTCTATTCCAGCAGAGTGATCCAAATAGCAGCAGCGGCGCCAGCAGCTACGAGCCCTGGTGCACGGCCAGCGCCAGCAGCAACAGCAATAGCAATAATCGTGCCATGGAACATAACCAAACTACCTCAGCGAACGCCAGACCCACATCGGGTAGTGCACCAACTCTATCCAGCAGCAGCAATAGCAGCAGCACCAGCAACACCAACAACAACACCAACAACAGCAGCAGCAGCAGCAGCAGCCACAGCCATACGCAGCACTATGCGGCGCTGGCGATGCAGAGCGAATCGCAGCTGGCCTCAGAATACGGCCTGACCATGTCCGGACTGGCGAGCGGTGCCAGCGACAGCAGCAGCAGCAGCTGTAATAATCTGAACGGCGGATATTCCGGACTTGTGGGGCCCATGAAGTCCGATTACGTCGGCAACTATCCGGCCGAGTTTGCCAGCGGCTCTGGCTACGGCTATGCGCATCATCATGTCGCCCATGCTCATGCCCACGCCCACGCCCACGCGCACGCCCACAATCATCATCATCATCATTATCACAATGCGTGGACCGCCGCCTATCATCCGCATGCAACCGCCTAGATGGAAGAGGAGATCGTTGCGGCCGGGTACCTTAACTAAATCCTTGTTGTTGTGTTGGTTCAATTTTCAAGAATTGAAATCGAACTAATATTTTAGAATATATATACACACATATATATATATATATATACATATATTTTCGATTTTTTTTTTTTTTTTTTTAATAGTGCGAAGTATTAAAAACAGCCATAATCCTGCATATATGCAGACCTAATTAATATACACATACATATATACATAGATATAAATATTGTGTATGGTCACCCTAAGAATTCATTCTAATCAATCCCGAAGTGTACGAACCTCGAAGATATATCCCTAAGTTTTTGTCTCGCTAGTGACCTAAATTGTTGTTGTTAAGCCCATAAAAACTAATATATTTATGTATATATACATATACGCAAACATACATACAAACGTTCACACAAACATACATACACGCGTGTGTGGGTGTGCATAAAGCATCAAATTCAATAATACACCTAAGAAACATTTTTTTTTGCCTAGGCTAAGTGAATTTTTTTTTTGCATGTATGTAAATAATCAACCTTAATCCAAAACATCAAAAACTATATTTGAATTATTTGTTAACTGTCTTTAAGATAAAGAAAAACCCGTATATATATAAATATATTTATATATATATACATATATAGAAAAGACACAAAACGGATTACCGTAATAAAAAAAATTTGTTTGAAAGTTGAATTGTTTTTGTGTATTGGCAATTGGATCATCGGTTCTATATAGGTAGGGAAAGAAGCAATCCTGAAATGATCTTAGTGGCTTCAAACTTCAGTTCATGCTATAAGATGACTTATAATCTGTCTATATAGAAGAAATGTAAAGAAAAGAAAAGGAAAATAAAAATAAAGATTAGCTAGGATATTAGTTGACATTCGAATACAAAACTTTATTGACGTTTATCTAAGATTATAGGTAATTGGGATATGATATTCTATGAATTTTGTGTTCCAATTAAATAATTCCAATTAAGTAATCGAGACCCACGATCTATTTATATTGGAAAAATGAGTAAGGATTTCTGGGACTAACTGGAATTTGTATGCGATATTAAATTGACTTTGTAGTTTTTTTTTTTTAAAGGCCAATAGTGCTAAACTATCAAATAGACTTCATATTTTTACAAATAGGTGCGTAAAGATATTTATTTTTAGTATTACATAAGAATATCGAAACGATAAATGATAGATTTTGTAGTTTCATTTGATAGAAAGAATAGTAAAGTTTGTATGTAGATAGATAGCGTATATAAAGTAGATTGGATGTCAGGCAAGCTACACTGACTTGGTACTACTCGTTCACTACCCAAAAACAGTTAAATGTTCTTGTAGCTGTTAAATATCGAATCCATAGCTTAAAAGCTGGAAATTATAGAGTTCTATTATATTTGCTCTAATGAGGATTTGAACCCTTTTTAAGGGGCCCCTTTTACGAGAATATGTTTCAAATTTCAAGTCTTCAGCTTCAGTAGTTCCGAAATGGTCTGACGCATGGCGGAATATGTACAAGTACGAATGAATGTTCAACAAGATGGATATAGCAGAAAGCTAATAGATATATATAATTTTTTCACTTCACATACAATATATAATATATGTAGAATCATATATGTATATAAATCTTCTATTCAGTGCTGGCAGTCCTCATATGTACAGTGCTCTATTTGAAACATTTGATTTGAAATATCTATAGTCGTAAATCACACGCAGAACGGGTTAACCTTTTTTTCAACTATTATTTTTGTGGCCTTTAGGTACTCGGACAATTTACACAATTGAAAAAATGTTTAAAAAGGAATTTCTTGTATAACTGAATGGCTTCCCAAAGCTTTACGATCGGGCTATAAATAATGAAAGTTATTCATTAAGTGAATTTGCCGTAAACATGGCTAAAACGCAATGCAAAAAGTCTGTATGCACATGTGTGTGTGCTTTTTTTTAGTGGCTATGAACGCGTCTAAGAGAAAGTGCGAATATGTGTTTAGTATATCCACTGACTAAGCAGACATTTTTTGTCTATTTGAAATTACCCCGAAACACATATTCCAAAAATTATTGCGGCTTACAATTTATGTGTGTTTTTTATGGCCAGTTTTTCGACTTCTCACGGTTTTAGTCAAAGGGTTAGAAGAAGCCTCATATATTTCATCATATTTCATAAATTTTGCCTAGGGAATATTGAGGAAAACTAGAAAAATATTTTGATTTTCCTAACCGAGAACTATAAATTGACAATAATATAATTTTGTATATATAAATTCATAACAATATATATCTCTGTTATTTATGTATAGCCTAAAGTCCAGTTAAATGAAAATGAGTTTGAAAGTGTAATAGAGCAAAAACCAGGTAAGACCCACATTGTGAATGACTAAATCATGTTTATGCATAGTTGAATTAGTGCTTCGTGTAAGATAACTTATACGAACAAGAATTCATACAGACAGTGTGAATGAGCGGCAAACGAGCTGCCACGCCTGTCAGCCCCATAATTAATCATCTACAAAATTGAAATTTGTTGAGCCATTAACTAAACTCAACAAAACCCAACAAAACAAAAAGTCAAAGCTGAAATCTTTACCATTGGAAAGCCAAAGAAATGTTTAAATATATTCAATATGATAATGTTGAAACATTAAAGTAACATGGGGAGGAAACAAAGTTTTATAAATGTGTTGTATAAATTTATACATATCATAGATAATACTACAACTTGGATTTATTTTTGCATACATGAATGCTTATCTTGATAGTCATCTAAACTAACTCTATTTATAGACTTATCTTTTTGAAAGGATAGAATAATATATCTCAGCAGGCATAATTAATGTAAAGAATACTATACTTAAGTGGTAGGTATGCTACATTTTAAAAGACTATAGGTGGGGATTATTTGAAGCAAATTGACGTGCGCGGGTTATATAGGGTTCTATAAAAAATGTCAAGGCTCCAGCTCTTATAGATGCAGAGATCGACGCGTTCATATACTGACAGACGGGCATGGCTGTATCGATTTGTTCACAAAACAAATATACTCCCATATCCCAATGCCCCCATTTGATGGTTTCAGTGTATAAACAATCATGTCCTATCAAATCCAGATCCTTCATCGAATACTTGACTCTGCTGAGCTTAGTCTTCTGATTCCTCAAGTGAGCCAACTCAGAACGATTATACTAGCTGTAGCAGTACTAAAATAAGCACAATTCTTGCTAACTTATTTTCGAGAACTAGACTTTCAGTAATGCTGTGAGTAAGGTTAAGGCTAATATCAGCCATTGGGTAATTTTACACATGCAGGCGTGGCATAAGGAGCACATCTGTAAAACTAATATACCCACCCGCTAGTAATATTCATATTTAAGGGCAATCTATCATACTTGCCTTTTGGGCTGCGCATCAAGTGCCACTCGCATACGACTCGAGAAAACCTTCTCAGAATTTGGCGCTAGCTGACACCCCACACTTACAATTGACACATTTAGAGGCTGTCAAGGTGCTCTTGAAGACCGTGTCACACGTACTTAGCAAACGGGAGCCGCTCAGTATGCATAAAGTTGCTGCATGAGCCCAGCTCAACTCAACTGCTCCTTGGGCAAGTGCACGAGTGAGACGAGTGATCCGCCGAGCCGCATCGGCTGACCGTGACACGTTTGCTCAAGTGGACTTGAGGGACTCTGTGCGATCGCTCTAATTTTAATCAAAATTATAAATAATATAAATGTTATACAACCACTTGACAGTTGCCCGGCCGTTCTTTGTGTTTCATCTTTCACAAAACCGTACCGCCCTTTTCCACAGAATCGGGTTTGAAGTTACAGAGAGCATCGTCCAGAGGCCGTGATCCTTGCGGACGATCCTAAACCACTTCAACCTGCAGCATTAGGACTCTGCACATTTAGTTCGGATTATCGCTGCTTAGGCCACAGATCACTTCTAACCGAATACCCCTTAAAGATACTGTGATGCTGGGATATCATGACTCGTAGAATAAATATGATGAGGCATATAGGAATATGCATATAATATTTATGCATATAGGAATATAAGAATATAATCTTCCATTCATTGCTCATATGTTCATATATGAATGTTCACATATTCTCTAGTTTAGTATTATAGATAGTATGTTTAGATATTTAAGAATATAATCTTCTTTAATTTATGGCTTATATTCATATTTTCTTCAATTTCTATTCTTCCATTCCTACATTCATATTTTCTTATTCTTTTATTGTTATATTTTTTTATTCTTATATCATACAAGGGAGCATTCTTCTGTGGTTCCTCATGACAGCGGACTTGCTAGGACTGTTTACAGGGTATCGGCGGATCGGTCCGTCTGGGTTAGAGCACGCTTGCTTGTTCCTAGTTGGGGGTTTTTTAAGGTGGGCGTGTATGACATGGTCATCGGTAATTATTTATTTTTTTGTACGCTTTGTTTCTGGTGTTGTTGTTGTTGGGTGCTCTTTTGGCTCTTTTGCTGTTGACGTTGTTTGGTTTTTTGTTCATTAAAAAAAAAAAACAAAAAAAATGGTTGCAGCATATTGCTCATTGTGCTTAAGGTTTACATTCCGACCTTCCTATGTCGAATACCAACTCTCGCTTGGGCAAACGCTTTGCCAAAGACTTAGGGTTCGGCACTTTCATATTAATATTAATAAGAGTTGGCCATGTAATTCGCAGTTGTGGGTTCGTTTATTAATTTTAAAGAGTATATTAGTTTTTTGTTAATTAACTTGAGGCTAGACACAGGCCATGATCCAGATCTGAAATAAAGTAGATATCCAAGTAAAGTATTCGATCTCTTATTAAATTTGTATATAAACGTTATTGTTTAACTATCAAATGACATCAAGAAACTGCGCCGTCTCTTTCTTACTCGCTCGATGGCTTTATATAATATTTAGCTCGGGCCTTTTACATTCATTTCAGCCTATTTAGTATGTATTGGAAAATGGATTTCTCGGCACCTCAATCGATCCACCTTCGCTTAGCGGTTATTCCGGTCTCGAGTACGTGACTCAATCAATGCCTTGCACATTTAAGCGTAACAGTCACACTTCAATTGGAAGGATGTCTGTGCATCGAGGAGGGGGCGATCCGGCTGCCTAAGTGGCCAATTGACCAGCAACAACAATAACAACATCTCAATCGAGCAGACAGTAAGTAAATGCTACATTGTTGACATCTGTGGCATACAAATTCAAATATATTTTGAGCCGCTGGCTATTATGGAATTACATTGTTCGACGGGTCCGGCCAACGGCTCAAGAAAACTGTGACATATGTGCAGTCAATAAATTTTTCCGCTTCTTCATGCTGACGGCACACAATGCGGGGCCCAGGACCAAAAAGGACGAGCCGCAGCTATGCGCCGCTAATGGCCCCACAATGACTTGGCACCTTTCAGCCAGCCATTTCGCTTCGTTACGCGAGTTAAGTGCGCGTATGTGTATATTCATAGTACGGGTCTACGCACGGAGATCTTGAACTCCGCTCTTTGTTGCACTAAATTTGATTGAATTGTTTTGCGCTTAGCGCATTTGCTTACCCCCACAACTTACCCCACCACGATTTGCATTATTAATAGGCTACGCCCATGTCCCAGCCTTCTGTTCATCGCCAACAGAGCTAAATGCCCAAAGCTAACACTTACACTGCGCTACGAAATTGGTAAATACCATTTCATTCAGCACTGTCATGCTTGTGGTTGTTCTCAATAGATACAAAAGATCATCATAATACCTGAACGTCACGAAAGAGCCAATGACTCATAGCCATATGTATATATGTATGTATATAAATATATATATGTTATATATATAATCAACCATTATGCCAATTTTTGATTATCGTGTTTAAATAAAAAGAAATATCTTAATTAAGAATACAATTGTTATGCTTCTTAAGCATAGAACTTAGCCATGGAAGATGAGTCATATTAATATTAATAATTCATTTTAAATGACATTAAACCGTTGAAGATCATATATGTATAAATGATTACAAAATCCCATATTTTCTATATATATCAAGCCATAGAGCTAAGAAGTAATTGGTAAATACAGGCGTTTAATAGAGTCTTGATAGCATAATATGATTCTATAAGTCTAGAAGAATGTAGTATCTCTGTTTTGCCACTTTAACAATGGTAGATCTATAGATATATGTGCGACGATTGAAAGTGAGTTTATTTGCACAGTTTAAAGCTCTGATAGACTTGATTGTAATTGCAATATATGTATCAAAAATACTTTGAGAACTTCCTACAAATACCAATCTTCAATATTTAATGGAAGGGTCGACGACATTAGATTAATGAGCTCTAAGACCATCGAACAATACAGTTAAAAGAGGTAAAAACTTATATACATAGTAAAAATAATATTTCCATTACTCGATAGTTAATTAGTTCAGAAAAGTCTTTCAATGTCAAGTTACAATCGGGCGCTACAGACTAAAGCAGGCAGTTTTGATACTTATGCATATTTCAAAAGGAAAATTCAATTTGTTGAATTGTTCTATTTTGGGGCGCTCAGCTTGGAAGATACAGGTAGATTTCTTAATTTTTTATTTCCACACCCACTAGCGACATATGTGTATATATTTTATTGGTAAACTAATATTGAACTAATAGTAGTCGTGAAATTTTGAGTTTCTTTGTCTAAAACTGTATTGAATAAAGTTTTTTTCCGATCCGTCAGCTCTACAATCGGCTTAAATATATGAACTATATCCTTCTGAGCTAAGGGTGTCAAAGCGAGCATATCTATATTTCAAATTTCAAGTCTTGAAGCATTTTAAGTAATAGTATTTCTATTATATCAGATGTAGTATTACCCATTTAGCTCAATTCAACGAGGATTCCTTTGAAAGTATGTTCCAATAGTTGTAGCGAGGATTTTACGCTTGGATCATCCATTTTTAGTAAAGTCATTGATGTTTCCTGGAACTAGCCAAACATGGTTTCTTTCCAATCTCTCCCTTGCTCTCTTTCTTTCTTTTGTTCATTGTTTTTTCTCTAGTCGTAAATCGATTTGTTGCGCCTGCTTTTCACGTATTCTTATCCTGTATTTATTTTGTTTCCCCTTTGGCGCCACAAATTCATTTGGCCCTGTGTTTTGGTTAGTTGTGATTCGTTTGTTAGATTGTTGTTGCCTCCATAGTCTAAAATAAGTCTGGCCCTGACGTGTGCACCGATAATTACGTGAATGGCTTTCAGGATCGCAGTACTTCTATACACTTACCATAGCTGCAAGACCTTTTGCACCCGAGTCCAAATGTTTTATTTTTGCTGTTGTATTTTTTGTGACTCGGTTGACATGTGGCCGACAATTCAAAGCATTCTGTGACTGTGTTCTCACTCCGTGCTTGTGTGTGTGTATGTTTTTTTTTTTTGCAATTATTATAAATCAACATTTTGATTTATGCATGTAACAAAAGTTGAGCCACGGCCACGACAGCAACATTGAAGTAGTATATGGTTAAATTTATGGCCAAAACACTTACGAATACAAAGTGTGTGCATGCCAGATATAATGCCGGCGAGATGGTAATGGGCCATAGGTGTCAATAGTGTGGGCTGCGCCGTCTTAGTTTTATACACTTCGCAGACCATAGCGAGGTTTCTAGTTTTCCTGAAATCCGGCTTAAAGAGCGGAGATTTGTTAGCTACATAACTTCAACTTCAAATATTGATATATGTATAATACCTTTGAGTCCATTGAATGGTCTTGCTGAGAATGTGTATACCAGGCAGAAGGAGGCGTGACAGATCCCACAAAGTGTATATATTCCCGATCAGGAAGTGCAAAGACGCTAGCGTAGCTAGAACTTGACCATTTAACAGTTTGTACGTCTGTAAGTTCAAGTAAATCTGCCTGTATACCACACTGCAGTATTAGTTCTTCAGTTGTTAGATAGCTCATTCCATTTCTGTATTACTGGTAATTAAATTATCCAAGCATAGATTTTAGTTTAAGAAAACTTATGCGAGGAGTAAGTGAAAAGAGGGTTAAATTAATATTGTTTACTTAATGTTAATACAAAAAACGCTTACCTATATCCCATCTCTATATCTATCCCTACATATATTACTATAAGAGGGGTTTGTCAAGTTTAAGAATACAACTCTTACAGGATTTGATATGTTATGCGATCTTAATTTATTTTATTTTTTTTTAATTAAAAAAAAAAAAAATATTTCTGTATAACGACAGCACCCTTTCAACCTGGTGTCTTAGGTATATCTGTGTATCTTATATACAAGAGTTCTAGAACATACACACATATGCATATACATAATCGTTTATATTTATTGCTCTTATATATACATAGCTAACATATGACAGATTTCTATATGTTATATACATACATATGTAAATTACCACAACAACTTGACCAAAAACATAAAGAATATTCATTTGCTTGTTTCATAGACCATTTTGAATAAAAATAAAAATAAATAAATAAATAAAATAAAATGAATAAATAAATAAATAGGCAAACAAGAAGTTGCTCAAGAACCCAAAGAAGCACTTCCGCTGCATAAGTTATTCGCACAGTTCTTTGAGTGTGTGTGCGATACAGCTCTACCTTATATAGTTAACTTTGCTGAAATTATCTAGCAGTCAGAATTGTTCGATTTATGCGATTTTCATCATCAATATACATATGTACATACATATATTCACATGACATATGTATATTGTGACGATCTGGCACCACTCTGATGTTCCTAATCGATATATTGGATAATATATAATTACACACTTTGTCATCAATAGATAATAAGAATTGTCATCTCTATTTTAAGCTCAATTCGTTAAAAGTTGATAACCATTATCATAAATTGGTAACATCATCTCCATAATATAATATATCTGTAGTTTTTTATTTATGAATTATCTTTAAGTGTTGAATAGTTCTTGGCTCATCAGGTTTTTACTCACACTTCGCACTCTGCACGGCAGTAAAAATGTGGTTCGTTAATTTTTTTTTTTTTTTTTTTTTTTTTTTGTGCTCGTGTTTTTTTGGTTTCATGTTTGCTTGTGCCTCTTGTTACCAGGCACTCGAACACAACACTTCAGCACTCGAATAAAAACAAACTACTTGTATGTTGACATACAAAACAATCGCCGATTCATTGAAAAAATGGCCTCGCCTCGCAGCGAAAATTTGCATAAACTTTTTTATATGCACAACAACCAGACAACAATAACAACAACAACAACAGAAACAACAGCAACAACGAGAACAGCAAAAAAATGTGGAGGAAAAAAGGTAGCGGAAACGGAAATGGATGCCGCCCGGTCAGCGGCGTGCGCGATAACCAGCAATGACCAGAACTTGGCGCCAATATGCAAACATAACAGCAGCAACAACAACAGCAGCAACAACAACCACAAACAAGAACAACAATGGCAACAAAAAGAAGTGCTCGCTGCATGGCATAAATCACTGCCAATCGAGAGGGTGCTCAATGGGCGGCTATTCAGTGGGAGGGGGCTGACCGGAGCTGAATACAAACATTTTATTTGAAGAAGCGCGTTTGCATTTTTTATGAACTTGTCGTACATCGTTACAATAAATTCATCTACTCGATATACATAAAAAATGCATAAAAAATGTCAGCGCCCCTTGAGCGGGACAGGCAAAGAACTAAAACTCCATCCGAAAATTACAAAACATCTCGAATATCGGATGTGATTGAGTAAGACGCACTTAGGCCATATTCGATCAAAATGCCGTTACACTAATATTATATGATAGAGAATGGGCTGGAAGAATCGTTGAGATTGTATAAAGATATAACAATATAATTGTTAAAAATGCCAAAGTTTCATGTAAATTTAGACCTATTTTAGGTTCTTCTCTGAACTGGAACTGAGTCAAATCTCGAGTGCTGCTGGCCGAGGACTGAGTAAGCTTTGGCATTGCTTTCAACATGGACAACACGATCCCAATACTGACCCCACTTTCAAGAGCATATGAACGTCGTCAAGTCGTTTTGGCATTTTCTAAACGGACAATGCGCAGGACCCTCATGCAAGGAACAGGACGTTTTATGTGTCAAGCTTGGGCTTCCTGCTGCACCACCAAGCGAAGCTGACGGCCGAAAGGCATTTATCATTGTGGGTAGCGGAAAAATTAAACACGCTCATACGCGCCAATATTTGATACGTTTTGCGCAGCGGATATCCCTGACATATCCTGCGTTGCCAGGGGGAGGGGCAGTGGCACTCAAGTGAACACATTGTATTGTGCGACAATTGTGTCAAGGAGACACTTTGCTCCGCTTCTATTAGCCAACTCAGCGTGCGACTGAGCGACGAGCGGATACACTCCCTGTGATCCCGCTATCGCTGGCAATCTCCAATCGCATTGATTAGCGTCTGGGCAGCTCTCGAATTTCACGACGAATCGAACACCGCTGCCACACCTGCCGGAAAGCGGTGTATCCGCCAAGAGATGCATGTTTCGAATGCTTTGTGCAAGAGTACTTCATATACACTCATTCACATGTCTGTTCAATCGTAATTGTAGCCGTGATTGAAATCGATTGACATATGCGATGCATGGATGGATAGCTGCCTGAGCAGCTGAAAACACATATTTTGTAATTTCTTATATATATTATTATATTATATAAAATTGAGCGCAAAGTAGATTTGCTAATTTGAATATCGCCTCTGTGACTGTGTCTTTCAACATATTTCATCTTTACGTTTCAGAAGCTCTTCTGCTGTAACTTCCACTTGAAGGACGTGGTCTGAGCAATCAAGTTACTTGGAATGCCATTCTGGATGGACGAGCTAAAAGTGTTTTAAAAGACTGTGTGAATTAGGTATCTTGCTTTTGAATATACATATATAAAATATCTCTGACTTCATTAAGACACCAACATCCGATGATCTTCCATACTCTTTCCAAGTCCTTACACATCTATTCAACAGCCAACACGTGCCATAGCATAAAAAACTAATCGTAGCATAGATTTCGTTAAGTGATATGCATAGCCTCGAGCTCATTCTTAATCCAGTTTCAAGACTCGACCGTGTCAGGCGCAAAGGAAATGACTTTCTCAAATGCAACTTCACCCCTGTTTCCAATTGTATTAGGACGCGATCACTTAAGCGAGATCGATATCAGCACGACAAAGCAAAACAGCTGGAAACTCATCAAAACTCTAAAGGAGGTGGATCTATATAAACAGTTGATCGCAGCGCAGAGCCCAAGGCCAAGGCACCTCTGCCACGTGTGAGACGCTGCAGTTGTGGAAAAGTAATTCCATATGAGTTTTGTCTCTCCCAAACATCGATTAATTTTGCTATAATATTATTACAGAAAATTCTATTCAATTTTCTCAATCTGTAGATTTGTGCGCAACTATTCAAATGATATGTGTAAAAGGACACCCAGTGTGCTCAGTGATGAAGCATCATATTTCAATGTGTATTATTGCAGCAATGAATTACATGCATGAATACGTTGGTCCTTTATATGTATTAGAAATAGAACGTCTGCGATTGATGAATACTTTTGGCTTGCAGTGTAGTAGGGGTATTTCATTGTTATTAGTTTTACTAATGAATATCAAAACTATAAATACGTAGCCAAGAATCCAAGTCTTATAGTCGGGAAGCCAGTAGTAAGCATTAATCCTCTGTAGTAAATCGCCTTTCGAATGGGTTTGCATTCCTTGACAACCGTAAGATCCGAGTGCAGCATAGGTATAATCTGGAAAAGGTTGAAATTGGATTTAAGCACTTCATTATGCCCATTGTGAACAATGCTCTGTATATATTCACAGTAGCTGCTCCTATGATATTTTACAGCATTTACAGCTTTGGGACTGCCAACTTGATCCCCATATTGGGTCGCCACGTACGACGGACAAATCGATTGGCCGTCGATTTAAAGGATGACGAAGGAATGAACTATGAATGATGCGAGCTTTTTTAGGCAAAAATTAATAAGCAGTAAAATGTTTGTCTTTTCAAAGTCTAATGCAAACTAAGTATAAGAGCAATAGATATTCAATTTGGTTTCATTATTGAACATCTTAGTTAATGACGACTTTGTCCGATGGACTTCTTCCATAATCATATAATACCTGTTCGACAGCGACTGTGTTACAATAACAGCACGCGAAAATCCTAAAATAATATACAGCTGGAGATCAAGAATTATCAGTTCTTTTTGGCCTAAACAAACTGGGATAAGTATCTACAGGACAAACAGCTGACAGAGCTGGCATTGAATTCAAGATATGATCAGAGAATTCGGTCAGCCACAGTTTCTTGTGCATATGGTCAGGTATTTTTCAAGGTATTTTTAGCTAAACCAAAAGAAATGGAATAAAAATGTAAAAATAAAATAAATTAAAAATGAAATCAAATTAAAAGTTATTTTTATATAAAAAAAAAAAAATCACACACACACACAAACTTATAAAATAATTATTTGTATATAATTAATGTATTACTTATTACATGCAGACGGACGGACAGACGGACATGCGGACGGACGGATATGGCTACATCGAACATTACATATTTGGAAAATTGTTTTATAACAATCACGACATGCCAACTCGGCTTGAAGCTTTCTATCGAGTCGAACGAGGAGGCTGTCGAGAAGTCAAACTGTCAGTAGGCTGGTTTGTATACGGTTCATAAAAATTTCTGTGGCAATTGTAAACCTTTGAAAATTCGTAAAAATAAGTATTTCCGTTAACTAAACCAATTTGATCCATTTATACATTCGTGGATGACTACCACTGCTGTCTGGCATTCAGTGAATCGTTGAAAGTTCTTTAGCTTTTCTACATGTTCGGCAACTGCTCGCATTTGGCGAATACGAGAGTCGCAGCTCTATCGAAAGATTTGAGGGCTTTAGCAGCAAGTGCGAATACCAAATCGGATCAGGCAGAAGAAAAAATTCAAAAGACAAAAGGCGCAAATTCAACGGCAATCATTTTGAGGCAAACGAGAAAAATGTTCCTGGGTGCACTGTTGGAGAAAATAAACCCTTTTGCAAAGCAGTCGATCAAGCTAACCAACGTGGACGATGTGAGTAGGAACCATATTGTTAAAGAAAAATTGCCCCTATTGAAGGCAGAGTGCTCCCGTGCCGAGCGGGAGCAAGAGGAATTCCTAGAGAAGCTTCGAGTGTGCTGCACTTTATTCGACTTTAGGGATGCATCATCGAATCTGATAGGCAAAGATGCCAAGTTGAAAGCACTTAATGAAGTACTGAAGTTCGTAGATGAGGGGCAAGGAATGCTAACGGATTTAATCTATGTGGAAATTGTTAAAATGGTTGCATGCAACATCATTCGCACCTTTCCGCCCAACACACTCTCGCCATTCAATCCGGATGTGGATGAGCAACTGTTGGACGCAACCTGGGTCCATCTGGAGGTGGTCTACCATGTCTTCCTCGGTATCCTCGACTCCCGAGAGTTTAAGCCAAGCGTTGCCAAGGGCCCCATTGATCGAAAGTTTGTTTTGCAGCTGTTGATGCTACTCAATTCGGCCGATCCACGGGAACGTGGCTTCCTCAAGTGGGTCATTTTGCGCATTTACAGTAAAATCTATGGCCTTCGTAGCTACATACGAACCCAGATTTATAACATATTCTATCAGTTTATCTACATTGTGGAAGACTTTAACGGCATTGCTGAGTTGCTGTGGGTCCAAACCACCATTTTCGAAAGCTGTTTTACCGCAGCCTCGAAGGCCGAACATGAAGAGTGCTTGGAGAAGATTCTGATGCCGCTGCACAAGGTCAAGAGCCTGCCGACCTTTCACAACCAGCTGGAGCAGAGCCTCATTCAGTATCTGGTGAAGGATAGCAAATACATCGAAAACATTGTGCGTGGCCTCATCAAGTTTTGGCCCAAGACTTCTACTCAGAAGGAGATACTGTTTCTGGACGAAATCGATAGTTACGCCAACGGAATTGCACCTGAGCAGTTCCTTGCCATACAGAAGCCACTGTTAACCCAACTAGCCACGTGCGTGCGCAGTCCCCACACAGAGGTGGCTGAGCATGCCCTCAATATTTTGAACAACAAACACATGATATCGCTTTTTGAACCAAACACGGCTGTTGTTATGCCGATCATCTGCCCGGCACTACTTAGCATCTCGAAGGGGCACTGGAATCAGACGGTTCTGAAGCGCGGCTATGCTGCACTGCAGCTTTTAGTGGAGATGAATCCTGACTTGTTTAACGAACTGTTGAACGATTGTTCCGGCGAAAAGGAGAGAGTCAAGCAGCGCCAGCGCGAGCGCGAGTTGGCTTGGAAGAAAGTCAATGAGTTGGTCGCAAAGCGTCGTAAACTAGATGCCGAATATCTACCATCACCAATGTCATCGAGCGAAGGCAACATCACCAACTCGGAATAAACGACAAAGTGAGTTCGCAGGAACGGAAAGGAGCCCGGATAGCCCCATTTGAGTTAAATACAAAATTTTATGATATATCTGATGAAATCAAAAATATTCTTCGACCCATGAGCGTATAGCTCTCACTGAGCTTAACACAGACACAGACACAACACACATACTCAGGGGCACACAAATTTACTTTACCTACGTCGCAGACACTGTATCGAAGTTCGTCTTTTAAGTATTTTGTGTATCTTTCAACCAAAATCCAAATGTGAACTATCTCCTATAACGTAATGCAATCATTAATATTTTTTATAAATCTCTATATTTTAAGACACCGCAATTTATGTACGTTGACAAAAAAAAAAAACAAAAAAGAAAAAAAAAAAAAAAAAAAAAGAAATAATAATAATAAACTATTTTTGGTAGAAATTGCGCCTTCTGATGCCATTGTTGTTTTTTACATACTCTCACACACTCACCCCACATATTGACATATATAGACGCGTACACACGCACACCTGAACATTTAAACAGAAACAGACATACAATTACGTCACATAGGCAGAGCTTAATTGTTTAATAGTTTCTCATAGATTGATTATCCTTATAAAACTTTCAGAACATCGCAATAAAGCACAAGAATCTAGTGTTTGAAATACGCTACAGACATACGGACTGTTCCGTTAGAACTTCTCGGTTATTTAACGGATTTTGATGAAACTTGCAGCATATTATATACATTATGTGTTTGAGTGTCAGACAATTTAGTCGAAATAAAAGCTTGTTCATATTTTTCATTCACTATTGACATTATTTATAAATTATTTGAGCTCTAAGTTTTATAAGTTGTTCAGAATAAGAAGAGGCGGATGGAGTAACGAACATGCGCTCGGACGGACAGTCGATTCAACTTGATCAACTTGGTACAGTTGTTTGGGATCTGGATCGCCTTATTCTACCTGTTCATCAAAACGACTGTGCTTAGAATTGCCATGTAGAAAGGATTTTGTAAATGTATAGCTAACAAACAGAAACAAATTTGCTATTTTAATCTCTTTTGATTCATGTATAGATTCCATTATTGAGTATACTATATCGCTGCTCTTCTATCTGACATTATATCTGTGTACCCCCATTTACCGATTTCATAATACAACTCAAATGATTCCCAAAAATTCCTTCAATGGTCTATTGGGATACATAGAGATACAACCCTGAATTGGAATAAGGAAAGTGAGCTTGGCCCAGTCAGTTACTCATTAAGTGGACTATATTACGGTCAGCTTGATAGAGAATAAATCGACATAAAATAGAGCGGATGAGTGGAAAGAGACCAACGAGACCCCATCCGACAGGCGCCCGACTCACTGGTTGGTTGACTATGGCAATATGCCTTTAATCAAGCCAAAAAACACAAAGTAATTCAAATTTTCAAATTATTTCCACTAAAATGGTTGACAGTGATGATGCGATGATGATGATGATGATGATGATGATGATGGTGCTGATAATATTGGGGTATGCGATACTAATGAAATGGGTGGTTGAAGGACTACTGCCACACACACAAACACACACATTCAGGCAATAAACTGTTGAGCAGAGTCGCTGTACTAAAATTTACTTCCAAGTATATGTAGATATATACATATTTAAATGAAGCGCACATAAAGCCAATGAGGGATTTAGTTGAATTGCCAACAATTGAATAAATTTTCCAATTGCCTGCGTTTTCGTATTAGCATTAGAAGGATGCCTCTGCTTATACAACACACGCACGTCCCCTCTGTCTGTCTGTGTGTGTGTGTGTGTGGGTTGGTTAAAGGAAGTGACGGCAACGCGAATACTCATACAAATCGCAAAATCAGTCAGTGGCGTCTATGCTGATGTTATCCTCGTCCTCGTCGTCGCTCCCCATGCTCCTTTGGCCGCTGCTCGGCGTCGCCATTCATTCAAATGAGGTTGACGACGTCGACCAACAATTTGAACCCTTTCGTGCAGCAGCAGCACAATTGACTGCCGGCCGAGCAAATGAGACAGTGGTAGTGGCATAGCACCCAAACAGCGCTCGCAGTCGTCGCCCTCCGTTGGTTGATTCAGCTTTTGGCAAGCCTTTGAAGTTCTGTTCTGGCTTCTCGTGTCTCGTTTCAGCTTTCTGGTTTTTAACGGCCGTTTGCCGCCACACCGCAAAATGAATGTTTGTTTCATCATATGTTGACACCCATTTTTCAGCTAACTTTTAATATATATTATATAGAGCTATACACAGCAATTCAAATCAATCGAAAGAACACCTTTATTAGCTAAGAGTTTGACCTTACTTATTGCCTATTAAATTGTGAATACCGAGGGTTCGTTTGGCTTTCATTTTTTGTTATTGAACTATGATGTGAGCTATTGAAATTCGATTGCTTAATCATTGTCATAGTCCCAATAATCTCTATTCAGCTTCTATAGTCCATCCGTCTCGATTATTACCTGTCTGTTTCCTTGGATACTAATCAATCGGTTTGAAAGCTACCGTCACGATGGGCTCCTGGTCTTTTATTGCGTGTCAGCCTCGAACGGTTCAACTTAGCATATATAACCGTTATAGCAATTATCAAAAAAATCTGGTGTTTTTTGTGATTTATATTTTTGGCGTTTTTTTTTTCCTAGAGTGTGTCCAGAGTAAATTTCTTTTTTCGTGGTCTTTACCAACACTGGTTAATGAGAGACAATCTGTTTGCAAATGAAATACTTCTCATTCGAAGACGATGTTTCGATTCACTGGACAAATGCCATATCGGTCTGGCGTATCCTCAAATGGAGCTTTAGGCTACTCCCGAATCTCAGCATTAATACAGTGTCTAAGCTTTCAGTTCATTATTCCCGCTTGCTTTTTGGCCACTCGACTTCTCACAGTTGGTACGAAATGAAAGCGCGTGCACCAAAAAGGGAGTTGTCTGTGTGTCTGTCTGTCTGACTGGCTCCACCACCTTTTTACCCTTTCTATGTGTGGCATTGAGTGAGCAGACATGAAGCGAATACAAAAGGGTTGCGCTTTTTTATAAGTTCCCAGTTCTTATATCTCGATTCACTTGGTTGCATTCTTGCCATGGATTTGTGGCAAAATGTGTTGAGGCAAACAATGTTAGAAAAGTGGGTGTTTTATTTAGAGTCGAGCGCATGAGTGCGAAAAGGCCACTGAGCCTGATTGAGACTGAGGCTGAGGCCGAGGCTGAGTCTGAGGCTGAGTCTGAGACCGACACTGGAGCAGGGACTGCGACTTCGACTGAGTCTCGCACTGGGACCAGGACCGTCAGTGGGTTGCTTCGCAAGCCTATCAAAGCGAACTCCGCTGGGCTAACCCAGTGTCGGTTTCGGATTGCGCCGGGGCGCGCTGGGCGGTTAAGGCGGAGGAGACACGCCCAAATGGTTTTTATTTCTTAGAAATAAGTGGCATCGATGTTGCCTTCCTCTTTGATTTTGGTATGCCAATTTATGTCTGTTGTTTTCTTTATTTCTTTTTTTGTTCGCAATTGTTGCTGTTTATTGTTGCATTGATTAGCTTAATTTTAATTTGGCTCTTAGTGTTTTTCCAGCGAATCATAAAAAAAACTATTTGAAATCTTTAAATATTATAAGTATCTATACTCTAGCCGCGTATAATCATTTTCGAGATATATCTTTACTTTCTCCATATACTTTTATTTTTCTGTTCCTACTTTGCTTTTTCGCCTATTTCCAGCTCCTAGTGCAGTTTCACCATTTTTCACCTTCCTATTTCTATACGTTTTCTAAGAGTTTTTATATTTACTTGTTAGTAAAATACTACTCAAAGTTACCTTTCTACTTTGCTCCAAGTGATGTCAGGGGCTATAAATAGACTTTTTGCTGTCCCAACATCTAAAATACTTCCAACTAGATTTACGAAGTTTCTCCAATATTATATTAATTTATTATTATTGATATATTATATTATTTTTGATCTCTGTTAATGTTGAATATTTAGCTTTTTATACTCATTCACGAAAGTGAATCAGTATATTGGTTTTGTGCAATGTCCGTCTTGCTGTCCGTCCGTCTGTCCGTCTGTCCGTCTGTCCGTCCGTCCGTCTGTCCGTCTGTCCGTATGAACGCAATCTATTTCGGCGCTATTGAAGCTAGAGACTTGAAATTTGGAACACATACTCGTGTATATCTCCGATTTATAAAGTGTTAAAATTTTCCCGATCCGCCCACTAGGGGCGTGGCAAATCGGAAAATGCATTTTCCGATATACCAGAAATCATGTTTGTTGAAGAGCTAGAAAGCTGAAATTTGGTATGTAGGTCCGCGTTGACCACCCAAGATCACGAGCTATGGCGGATGTATCTCCGCCCATTGGGGGCGTGGCAAATCGGATAAAACTGTATCTCCTAAAGTTGTAAACCTAGAATGCTGAAATTTTGCACGTCAGCTAATGGTATAATTCTAAAAAGTCTGAAGATAAATTACAAGTCTACGCCCATTGGGGGCGTGGCAAATCGGACCTGAAGATATAGTGATTTTTTAAATTCTCCTATATTTTGGACACTATTGATGGCAGAGACCTCAAATTTTGTATATATACTCGGACTGATCACCCAAGACTAAAAAGTTTTGTCGGATATATGTCCGCCCACAGGGGGCGTGGCAAACCGCAAAAGTTTATATCTCCTAAAGTATAATAGCTAGAAGCTTCAAATTTGGATAGTTGAGTTACTGGTAGCCTCCTCTATCGATTCCCCAAAAATAATTTTTACGCCTCTTTAGGGACGTGGCATATCGAAAAATACCCTGTAATTTTCACATTTTTTGAGGGTAAGCATTCAAAATTTGCAGTTAGGGTACCGTTATCTCTTTCTAAAAACTGACCAAAAATGAGGTGTCTACGCCCAGTTGGGGCGTGGCAAATCGGAAAAACCTGTATATTCTACAGTATTAGAGCGAAACTTAACTACTAAATTGTTGATGGGATGTGAGTGAGTATTCTGCAGTCGGTAACGCCC